TCAGTGGAACAGTCATAGAACAGCTTAAAATCAGTTAATTATCATGCAAATTAGGTAATTAATATTCATAGATTTTACCCAAAACTAATCAAATCTGCGCACTAGTTCAGAGCATCCATGTGCCACATTTCATCAAAATCCAATGAGTGGTTCTTTAGGGGAGTCCCAGTAAAAAAATTGCAAATCATGCAAGTTCAACATTTTCAAACCAATATACTAAAACAGAAATGCTCAGAGATGCAAATGAAGGATAGATATTACTTTTCACTATACACATTTCTGTTAATACTATCCCTCACATATTCTACTCCCAATTACTCCTGCGTAAAATGGACTAGCCTCTTTTCATGTTGACATTCAGAGTAAAATCATGTGACAGGCTGTTAAAATTGGCTGTTGCATACTCTTTCGCCTGTCTGGAAAATGTGTTTAATTAGCTCACATTCAAGCAACAATGCAGATTTCCCAGTGGGAGTGACACTATTCGACTCTGCCACTAAAAAATAGGGGTGTTTTCAGCAAAAAACGAATAACCCTGGAATACACACAATATACTGAATTTCGGAACAAATCGTGCATTACTTACAGCAGCAGAATACCACAGAAATATCAGACGAAACATGAAAACACTATATATTGTATTTCAGCCTAGACCCTCTATATTGCAATTCAAGGAATTAACCCCATATGTGCATCCATTTCCCACCTTGGTATCACCCACCCCTGAAGCGTTTGGTAATAACACAGTACGGTAACTATTGTAAGCATTCTCGTTTCGTTGTGTTAAATTTCTTTCACTTTCTCGTTTTCACAAATAAAATTGGTAAATGTAGAGACGCTTCGATCAACTTCCAAATTCATTATCTTATCACTCCCAGTCCCACAAAATTACCGCTCGTAAACCTAACCATTATACTTTAATTATACGACCCAGCGACGACCCAGGTGTTTACGAGTTTCACTGCAACGGAAGAAGGGTTTCCGATTTCAACTCCTTTTCATATTTTAATTGATTTATGATTTTTACATTCATTTACTCTGGTATCATCCCCATAAATCTAAAAAACTAATATTTTAATGTACACCATTAAGAGCTTAAATGATCACGGTCAAAGTAAACAGAAATAGGTGTACGCTATATGTTACAACCACGTAGCGTAGTAACAAAAATACCAAAAAATACCATTTATATCGTGCGATATCATGATTGATACACTAATCCGAAAGTATATCGTAATTGTTAGAATAATATCGAGAAATATCATGACTGATATCATAATATCATAATAACTACAATAATATCGAGAGATAATATGGATATGATAATTTACGGTTTCATCTGATTTATGAAATGTATCTGATTGTATTGTCGTAGTATCATTAGAATACTATGGAGGGATAACACGTTAACTTGAATGAATAAATAAATAAATAAATAAATAAATAAATAAATAAATAAATAAATAAATAAATAAATAAATAAATAAATAAATAAATAAATAAATAAATAAATAAATAAATAAATAAATAAATAAATAAATAAATAAATAAATAAATAAATAAATAAATATATAAAATCAATCATATATCTACACCAGTAAGATCCAACGAGACACCTTATGCGTAGCATATTCATGATCTCAATCGTAAATCTTTTTTATTGACAATGTAATACGAAGATTTTCTCTAAAAAGAACATAATCCCCACTAGTACGTGTTTTTCTAGATCCACACAATTGTTAAATATATCCACGTTAGTGTTATACAAATATATGTCATGTATCAATGACTTGTAGATCTTTGCTTAGAGATGAATACCGGGTTAATATTGCATGGTGTAATTCATGGTGTAATTAACGAAACCACAATATTTGGAGGTTTGCAGCCGGTTTTGGATGCCTCTCCATGTCATACGCACAGCAAAATTCAAGCGTTACCTAGCACTTTAGCTGAGTCAGTTAAAGGTACATTCATGAATATTCATTCGTCATACGTATATATAATATTATGTACTTAGGTCACGTATGGTTACCCAAGGCGATTGTTCCAACTGTGAAAATATTATTTTATATATTATTTTAAGAACAAATTGCGAATTTAAAAATATACTCTTTATTAATTAATTAAGAGAGACGAGTTTCAACATGCTGATTATTCTTAATGACAATTTTGTCATTATAGTTATTTCTAGTTGGCTTCAAATTTCGTCGATTTCATAGATAAATATGTACATAATCGCCCAGCTCATCTATTCTCTACTTCCCCTCCCTGTTCAAATTTCCACGATACTAGACACTCGCGTATTCCGTACGCATCTGAGTTAACAGCCTTGATCAAAATAATATGCGGTACCTACACGTTTTTATAAAGCATTCCCATGGGCCAGAAACGGATAAACCACTAATAGATGACGAAACTTAGGAACTGCCATATTTCTCAGTTGTGTAATGGCAGGATACCGTCTGCTACTAAGAGCATGGATATTTTAGTGAAGAGATTTGTTCGGTGCAGAAACAACAAAATTTATAAAACAATTTATGGGTTGATTCGCGCATTACTTGACAAAGTGGATTAACATGTTGGGTGTTGTGCATAGTGATGAGCTATGAACGCATGTACACACAGTGAAGGTGCAACTCCTTGTGCTGTGAGTGTCACTAAATTAAAACATTCAGGTATCATTCCGGGTGACACAGGTACTAGCGTCCGAAAGTCGGACAGGTAGACTAAATATTGGCCACCTCGAATAGTTTCTGCAGGTGCGATTCCCACGCATACATTTTGTGCGACGGGCACAGATGGTTATCTCAGAGACAAAAGGTTGAGGGAAAGTCATGGCCATGCATTTGGCAAGGTGAACATGGGTGGCAATCCCGAGGAGCAAATAGCCGAGTATGAGCTAGCAGATTCTCTGACCAAGATGTCTAAGATGGGGGCCAATGATAATCCTAGCGGGCAGGAAACACTGAAGGTACATGATATTGAAAAAAAGAGCTCAGTCTCAGACCTAAAAGACGTATCGGCAGCTGCTGGCGGTATCAGAATCCAAGAGGACCTGAATCGGACTTGAGCTTGAAACATTTATTTACACATCTCATCGATAAAACATAGCTGGCAATTTTCCCCCCAAGGCCATGCTTCGATTGATATTCTATTCACATAAATTGCAACAGACATCACTACCAGTGTGTGTCAGTACATATTTACAGTGGGTGATTACACCCGGATAGTGTCAAAGGTCAGCTTGTTGGTGATGTTATGCAGGTGGCTAGTAGACTCGTGGCAAACGACTCGTTACAATGCCATATCACTCACAAACAAATGGCCTACGTGAACGTCCTTCAGTCCATGCTGAAATGCATGTGTAGGGAGAGGCTTAAAGACTGGAACCATCACATAGCCCCTTTATTGTTTACTGCATGCCAATAAGTTTCGAAAACCAGCTGAGAATTCTTCCCATTCGAGCTGTTGTATCCGGGAACAGTGGGGGAACACTCTTGCAAGCGTTATGTTTGAAAGAGATCATCAATCCTGAAATTAAGGGTACATTTGACCTACAAAATCGATTGGAGGACATATGCAAATTGACTCAGATAGAACTGAGCAACCACTGAGGTATCAGGTCATTTTGACAATTGTTCATAGCATTTAACATGGGTAAAAATGTACTTTTGGTACCTACTACAGCCAATGATAAGCTTCAGTTACAATGACAAGGACTATGCAATGTTGTGGAACAAATCGGGTGGAATCGCATAGAACAGGATGATACAGATAAGCTGCACACGAGGTAAGAAAATCTACTGATGACATTGCAAACATAAATGTACATGTGAACACTTAATTACCGTCACTGAACAAGCCTATGCGAGTCTTGATCAAAATTCCTTCTAATGAATACCTTAATGGTGACTACATGGAATTAGCTTACTTGCAAGGGAAAGAAACTTCATTGAGTCCCCGATGGAAGAAACATTAAGTATTAAGAGAATAAACTGCCACACAACATACCAGGGAAATCAATTTAGGCATTTAACATTACATGTACAAAATGTCTGAAGGTAAGTTTTGCTACATGCCCCAGATGTATCCATAAGTGCATACTGGACTTGCCTGTCAATGGATGAATATCTGTCTGGTGAATGTACCGCTGTTGTAAAGCAATTGATGATTGACATAATAGACTGTGTGATGTGCAAAGTACGACTGCAGGTTTTCACAAATTGTTAATCATGATTTTGTCTGACTAGGATGATCCAGGCTTGGAAGACCCTGAAATCAGCTGACCGGGTCCACATACTACCTTAGCCAAACCCAACGTTTAACATCAAAGTATGAGGTCTAATTGGAAAGAAAACCTAGTGACACAGCTACGAAGGTAGAGAATATGGCGCTCTAACTCGTGAACTCGAGTCGCCAGTTACAAGAAATCCACTGGGGTGGCCAACTCCACGCTGGTAGCTTTAACGTTATATTAAAGCGCGGTAGTCGTCGCGCTGCGCATGTGCGAAATTTGTGTTGATAAACATTGATTTTCCCACAATCCGATGCGCACTACAAATGGAAATCACAAGTATAAGGTTTGATCTGGGCGTGTTATGCACTGTTTACCGCCTGTAACTTTTTCGATACTTTCCAATCACATGAAAATTACCTAATTAAAGCTTGGAAACGTCTCAGTTCGTACTCGTTGATCAGCGCAACAGTCAAAGTCGCCATCTTTGTTTATATGAGACCCATATATCTCGCACATGCGCATCGCTTTAACTCGCGCCATGACTTGACACTCGTCAGGAAATTCAAGTACCAAACATTCCTACACACACACTAGTTAGTCATGGGCTTTCAGTTATTATACTATGATTGATTATTCATCAACATGGGCCATTGTAGGGCATCGTCATGTATAGTAGATTTCAGCCAATTTCTTTCATCCTCACATCACACTCGTATGTTTACGTGTGTACAACTGTAATGACGTAACACCTGCTGTTGTCTTTAATGTGAACATAACTACAATATTTCAGTACAAAATAGTTTAAGTACATATTTCAGAGACGTTGAAAATTAAGAAAAAAAAATTTGAAAATTTTCCCCATACCCGAAAAGACTACAAATACCGTGAAAATAAAACAAAAACGGCTGTCGACACTGGTAGTAGTCAAACTGAAATAAATAAACGATAAAGTAAAACATAAACACAGGCTGGAATTGCTTCAATTTCAACATGATTAGAGAACACACCCCATTGTATTATGGGTATTAAAAGTCGTCGCCACTACCAATTGCCGCATCTGACGGGAAACAGATGGGTTGACTACCACTCCATTCGCCGCATTCGTGGCAGACACGTTCAGAATTACCCAATATTTCAAACCCGGTGTCGCAGACGAATGTCACATTGGCGCCAAAATATGTGCCATCTTCGAACCGAAATCCAATGTCAAGTTCACCTGGATCGCGACAGTCTACAATGTCATCACCTGGAAACAAACACTGAATATTAATATTAATAAAAGCCATATGTTATATTTCTCATCGAGCAAATAGAAAGTTTTAAGCGGAGGGGTCGTCACCTGCGCACGCGCCGGAAGCGAGTCTCAAGCGACAATAACAACACACACTAAAAACGCAACGGCTCATGGGTAGACGCTTGTTTGTAAACAATATGGCCATCTGACGCACGCGCAGGTGACAACTCCCCCGCTTTAAATAATCATAAACTTTACACTTACAATCCACAAAAATGAATTTGTGTATTGTACTTCCATCATGTATCTGCCATACCATGGCAACAGATGATAAACCAGCGACATTTTAGAAAGTTCCCGTGTATATACAAACGTTATCACTAAGTTCAACAGGACAAATAATGTTTCCAGATATGTAACCAATATTGAGTTTTTAGAATTAACACAGTTCATAAACACAAATCACGTAAGACGATATTATACACACACGTGGCAGGGAGTGTGTCCAGGGGAGTGCCCCGGATGTGACCCGCAGATATGAGTAAAAGCCGATGTAATTGAAGTGTTGCATTATCTCAGCTGCAGAAGGGAAGTTACAAAATTTGTGTAGAACATGGGATGTTACTGTTAAAACCAATACGGAGCTTTCTGCTCTGCTTTTTCTTTCTATGGAAAACACTGATTTTGACATGTGCTATGAACAAAATTGATTATATTAACTCACTGGAATGCAAAATGGTTACAATTTGGCATGGCTCATCATTCTCAATCGATGTTGTGTGCCACTGTCCTTCACTGCACGAAGAGGGCGCTCCACTTCCAGTAACCGTTATTTCGTCACTCCCAAAACAAGACTGAATCGTCACGCGTGCGTCTCTCTTAAAATTAAAGCATGCTTTGCCGTCAGCGTTGGTTCTTCTCATAGTTGAGTAGTAGAAGTCTAAACCATTTAGCCTGAGAATTAAAAGAGCCAGTTTAGACAACGATAGCATTGACACTACCGGCTACACGTCTAGTGTAATTACGCATGCGACCCTCTTGAAATAACAGCAACAACTCAGAACGTCACGGTCATAATTATCTTTTCAGATACCATCAACAGCGAGGCCGCCCTTCACGATTTATTGAATAAACATGATGTACAGATCAACATATATTTCAACTATGGCTAATTTTCAAATTCCATCGACCTTTCAGTTTGAATTGTGAAATATAAATATTTTTAAAAATCAAGTAAATGAGGTTGTGGCGCTATAGTAAATGGGGCTATCTATATGTCTGTATACCAACATGACAACAACTTTACAACAATCTGTTTTGTTCTATTGCAGACCATCTTGCAACACGTGACTGACAAGTCATCATTCATGCAAAATTATAGAAAATACAGAAAATTGCATTCGGTTTGTTTGAATGTTTGTCAGATGTCCCCGGGCAATTGATCTAATATCTTCGGAATAGCGTATACAAACACGCCAGTTTTAAATACTAAGACAAATATAATTCAATAAAATTCAATAAAATCAAACTATTCTTACCATACAGCTGAGTTTGGAACGGGTTGGTTGCAGTTTTCATCGTAGCATACATGTACCTGTACACAGTGTGTCTGGGTAGACCACGGATTGGCTGCTGCTATCCACGTGGTACGACTGGTTTGATAAGACCATGTATTAAATCCATCGCCACGTGAGTTTACCTGTCCCGAGCCATCTTGGTACCAAACTCCTGTCAAATAAAGAATGTACACATTTATATGAAAAGTTGTAATCACAGTTCTTGTTAAATATTCAAAATTGCAAGACATTCAGACCCTTCAGTAGTTTAATATGTAGCCTGTAACTACGCCAATTCAGATACTGCTGGTCAAGGGTCAAAGTCCGAAACAGATATTGAATAAATAGCAAGCAGTACAATTACCAACTGCAACGTTCTAAGAGTTTTCGCCAAGGTAACCGATCACATAGTAACAACAGTGATAATGTTTGGAACAAAAATACTTTGATTGAATTCACACTTTGAATCAATTTTAGAAGAGTTCAATTATAAAAAATAACATAGATTTATGTTTTCTTATTTCGTATGGTTTGTATTTTTGTTTCATTTTGAAGCCTTGCTCACCCACCTTCAAATTCATCATAAAACCAGCCAGGTATGTCGCCCCCAACGACGGAAACGGATTCGCTTAAAGGCATTGAAATAGTCATGGGAGCTTTCAGCGTAACTGGCAGATCAGTGTCAGAATCATAGAACTTCAGAACCGCCATGCCAAAGGCTTCTAAATTTCGTCTCTGTAATCCTGACAAAATACAAACCATTATACAAACAAATCTGTAAGACAAACGTTTGAGAAGCCGCATTTCGACCCCATCGCCAGTTCATAGTTCAAATGAAATACGGGTCAAATGTGGAGAAATATAATATTTTGATCACCGGCAGTGTAGTGGTTGTTGCGATTCATGATAGGGACACGCGAGTTTAAATTCTACCTGACTTGATCACAAAGCTTGAACCCCATAACCCCCACAGACACAATAGAGTAGACCATATACCCGATACGTCAGCACTTGCACTTGTATTCTGTAAATAGGAAAAAGTCATTCAATGTCCAGAGATTTCGCCTGACTCAAATATTTTTGTTCGTGTTGTGCTAAGGTAATCATAGATTTTAAACCATGTTACCTGCATCTGTTGCTTCATTACTGATCTCCGTTACCATGGCAACCAGTTCTGGGCTTCCGTCCATCATGTCAACAGGTAAGTCGACTCTTGTGAACACTGCCGTCACTCGCTTCCCGTCTGCCACATTTAGACTACCTATAAAGTAATAACAGTACTGTACCGACAATTGCATATCGTGCACGTTAACCATAACGGATATAGCGGCAAAAAGTGATGACGGCGAAGCAGTCGATTCGGGCTAGCTTGTGTTGAAACATTGAGTGTCCCCGACGATGTTAATTAGGCAGAAGTATAAATGACAGTGCCCACACAATATTCAAATTTAAAGTTGTGAAAAGGAATTTACATTTCCAAGAACACGAAACAAACAACTGAACTAACAATAAATCCACAAATGTATTCTACAAATAATACTTCGATCGCAAAGAACGAACACCTATCCTCTACCAACAAGCGTCGTCCGCCATAATAAATCCAAATGAAATCAAACCGATGAGCGTGCTCGCAATAAATCAACACAGATTATCGGGCATTCAAACTCGTGCCGCATTTGGTCGTACTGTTTGTGTTTACCCGAAATTCACAATTAAATATCCCCTCTACCAACCCATATGCCAAACTTTCTGCAGATGACAGAGGGCGCAACACAACAGAGTGGCATGTTGTAATACCCACCTTCAGGAAGAATGTATTCATAAAAGACGTCCCCTCTGAATGGAAACTCCAAAGCACGTGACCTCCGTACGTCATATTCGAACTCAATGGTGTTGTCACGTGACGGGGGTTCCATGTACACTGTAATGACGTTTTCTATTTGAAAACAAAACAATACAATTTTATTTTTAGCAGATTAACTAGCGTAATCTGGACGACCATAAGCCCGACACAACTATATATATCGTATAATATCACTTTTACTTTTTGTGTTTTTTCCTTCTTGTTTTTTTCATTTTCTAAAGGTTGGCAAACGTTGTTCTCGGACCCAAAGTATACACATATAACATACGATATAAAATTTCGCTAAAATACAATTTCTTCTGACAAAAATTAATTACAACTGTCATTAGACTCACTCTGGTCAGCAAGAGCGAAATACGTCATCGAGGATCCCATGTATCCTTCTCTAGCTGCAGTGACAATGACGACAGAATCTGTGGGCGCCACCAACGTCACTAATCCATTAAACGTAGAAATTCCATCAGAGTATGTAACTGTTCGGTCAGTCTCCTCCGGTGCGAGAAGCTTGATGTATGCGCCCTCTATTGGTACCTCAGGTTCAGCTTTGTCTACGACAACCACGGTTACGGAAACGTCGGTTTCTGTAATAGGAATGACGTCATACATGTTATCATACGGGAGTTCAGATACTAGGGACTACTTCAGTACAACGCGGCATTACATCTGACGAATTACGCAGCGTCACTCACGCACTACTCACTCAATACCTGCTTTAATTACTTCCACTTAAGTGCGGCGAACTGATACAAAGCGTATTAATATAGTACTGAGTGCGTTATCCGTTAGTTGCTGGAATCTCGATAAAACAGAACCATGAATACTTTACTTTTCAGCCGTGTATATAGACTCACTCACTTGCGCACGTTTCACCACTCCCAGTATAACCAAAAGGACATTGTCCACATTCGTACAGCTTAATCAGTCCATTCTCCACCACATTTTCGACGCTGTTTGCTTTGTAATTAACGTCAGTGCACCAAACCAGCGGCGAACAGGGGTTGTCTTCACATCGGCGGGGGTCTGACAATGAGAATCAATACCAGGGCCATTAGAAACATGAGCTAACTAAAAAAGACCGTTAATGATGTATATGTGTCTGAATATTATCGGTACATACTTTATTTAAAAGGGCGTTGGTCGTCGCAAACGCGAATGTTTGATAATGGGTGCAATAAGCGTAGCAACTTGTAGTACACACATAAGCACAGATGTGTTGATTTACACAAAATTCTAAAGCAGGCGTTCGCGATGACCGCCGTTCTCCTTAATTATCCTCAACATTCATGCATGATCAATAGCAGCACACCAGCTCATGCGATAAACATGGAACGATAATTAATGCGGGAATATCGTCAGATTATTGCTGAACTTGTGACAGAACAGTCATGCATCGATGATTAAATCAAATAATCGAATTGTGGTACTATTCGAAATAAAACTTTGTCTAATTAAAGGGTGGTGGTCGTCATGCCGCGTTTTGTTTGGTATGAGACTCATAGCAGCGTATACAACGCTTAAATTCGAACACGCGGAGCTCCACGACCAACGCCCTTTAATTATACCGGTTAACGAGTCGTTAGCGATGATATATTAGCATCCTTCTGAATTTGACAGAGAAAATAAAAGGCTTCCTGAGATGCCTCGGTAAAAATATAGTAAATAAACACCAGTGACTCCCAATACTGAGTTTCAAATCATAACACTCGTTCTAATTCTAATCTAATACCAAGCGACATGATGCGTATTGGTACATATTTTTAATATCATAAAGGGCGGTGGCTGCCGTGACCACGTGCGTTCCAAATCGGTCCCATACTACGCATATTTATATCAATGTATGCAAATGAGGACCCGAAATGCAACATTGTTTATTTTTACATAAAATTTGCCGCCGCGAAGTCTACCTTTTTTTGGAATAGACAGTGTGAATAGCTTTCAGCATGTTTAAGTAATTTGATTTGCATAAGGGTGTAATTATTATAAAACAGACATAGCAGGGTTAGTTCGATGACATACTGGAAAACGCTACTGCGCATGCGTCCATGATTTACCAAGCTGAGGCCAAATGAAGTCTGCGAGACGTACCTATTGAGTAACACAGTCGACCATCTCCAACATAACCGTCTTTGCAGAAACATCGGTAAGAACCAACGTTGTTAATACATGATGCATCTGGACTGCATTGGTGTGTATTCAGCTCACATTCGTTGTCATCTATCAAATAAATTACATACATCTATGTGAAACGATTCCCTACCGGATGTGGGTTATTTGGAATGTGTTATACATGTCATCAAGAAGTACAGAAATAACGCCACGTATTTAAATTGGCGTAGTTCGTAGAATGAAATAGAAAAGCTGCGGCATATTGAACACGTGGAGTGAAGATAGACATGTGGGTCGAACGATGTATTATAAGACCATAGCTGTACTGCATCAAAATATCAACGGCTGATTGATTTGTCTCAGTGATGTTCACATTCCCAATAGTTCCCACCTGTTCAATAATTTACAGTGCTAGACAAAATACGGGCTACGAACCTCTGCACCGTAGTTTCCCATTGACATATTGAAACGAATATCCCACGTCACATAGACACATATAACTGCCAAACGTATTGAGACATCGTCGTCGACGTGGACAGGGACTGCGCATCGTACTGCATTCATCGACGTCTGAAAGAAAGCGTAAACACTACAGCAGAGGACATAACGACGTGTATGTTCCAAGTGTGCTGTAGGTCTTGCGACGCGTGTAATACGCAAATAATTTATGATCCTGACTTTGTATTCTGTTGTTTACCAGTTGGCAGCGCTTTCTAATTTCATGCACTTCATTCACAAATAAACAATGCCCAGCACCCTTGTCACACGCGCGACCATCGTTGCTTAAAGCGAGAGGGTCGTCACCTGCGCACGCGCTAGAATTGACACCCTACGGCCACCTGACGCATGCGTAGATGACGACACTCCCGCTTTAAATCAGGAAGGGGCATGTTATTTTGTCTCCAGTTGTGAATATTGCTCTGAAACACAGTCCGCGGTAAGAAGGGAGGGGTACTCTTTTTGGGAATGTGTGCCGTAGTTTTGGCCCCAGTTTTTAAAACGCACGGTTGATCTTTTTGACCCCGAGTACCAGGTGAGTACCCCTGACCACTGGGCGTCATAGAGATAATATATTATTTTATCTGATTTTATTTTTTGAATTCAAGTAGCACTCCAAAAACTGACCTAGCTAGAATTGAACAATGAATAGCTGTATAACTAATATCCGCAAATACACAACCTGTACACCTTAAAGCGGGGAAGTCGTCGACTGCGCATGCGTCAAATGGCCATAGCGTGTCATTGTACAAACAAGCGTCTACCCATGAGCCTTTGCGTTTTAGCGTGTGTTGTTATAGCCGCTTTAACTCTGTGTATTCATTCACTATTACGTAGATTCAAAAATACACGAAAAAGCTTACATCTCTCTTACAACATGACACGTGTATGTAATAAATTGAATATATTGTAAGTATTGCAGAAGGGGACGTTATAACGGATTGTCTTACCGATGCATGTTTTACCATCTGTTCCTATTTGCATACCACTCGGACATAGACATTGGTATCCAAGTGGTCCGCTCATACAACCATAATGACATCGATCTAATTTGCACTGGTTGTCAGCTGTAATACAAGAATCATGGTAAGTTTGCTGATAATCATTCTCGAAGTATTCTGAAATGTGTACAATGTTAAAGGGCGGTAATCGTCGCGACACACACGTGCGACATTTGTGTTGATAAATATTGATTTACCCACAACCCTGTGTGCTTTCCCAATAATATCACACTAATTACCGCCGGCGACTTTTTCGATACATTCTAATTACCAAAAAAAATATCAAAGTAAAGCTTGGTAATCTCAGATTGTACTCGTTAGCGTGCGCAACAGTCAAAATCGCCATCTTTGTTTATATGAGACCGATGTCTCGCGCATGCGTGGTGCGACGATCACGCCCTTTAATGAAGCGAGACAGCATTTAACGGTTGCTATCACAATTCATTCCAGCATATATGTGGTCAGCGACATAAATATTCAATTTGATTAACTTTATTATTTCTCTAATAATAGTTTATTGTGTTTATACTAGAATATAAGTATACTAGTATGTATTCGATAAGAGATCGAATAAGTTGTTCTTGTAATGGAACATTTTTTTGCCAATAATAATTTTAATGTTTTCACTTAGCAAGTTGACTTGTTCTTTGAGCAATTTGATGGTGTCACTGAGTACCTTAGCATCTTGTCATTGACAAAGTTACGATAAAGTAAAGCTTAGAACCAGCTGATTAGAATCTGATTGTGGTAAGGCATGTCCCGTTTTTTTCTCGGAACGATTTCAATAGTTTAATCAACGCTGTACGGTTTATGCCGCAATTATTTGAACTGGCTCAGGCCATACATGTGAACAGTATTAATGGCCATGTTCCATGAACTTTATCATTGATTTAAAATACAGTTTTCCGCCTCGTAAATCGAACCCGGTTATTTACTGTACAAAACAGTATCTGGCAATGCCAAGGGCGGAGTGAATCAATGTAAGTGTTACAATCGTATACAAGTCTATAAACCTTGTTTAAAGTAGAATCACTTAAACCTCTCATGGATACCAACCTCGACATGACCTCTCATCCGCTAGAAGTAAGTAACCATAGCGACAGTAACACCGATAACTTCCAACGGTGTTCATACATCTGTGTTGACAAACGTTGTTTCCGCATTCGTTGACATCTGAAAAAGACACATCAATGAATTAAAACGAATCATCACGAATATATATGTATGTACAAGTATGTCAAATCGATTTCTGGTAGCGAGACATTCATTCATGAATATCGATATTCATCGCAAAACAGTGGCGGATCCAGCAAAATGTATTGGGGGGGGGGGGGTTCCAAGCTACGCTTAAGATATACGGAGCGTAAATCGCAGAGAAGCTATGCGTAATCCAGATAATACGAATCGTCATGGGTTTGGGGGGTGATGA